ATACTGCAGGATCAGCCATCTTTTGGTACTGCACAAAAAAGGAAAGCTATTAAATATTTACCGTAAGTCTCTCGTAGCTTTGCTTCTCACACTTTCCCTTTCACTAGAGAAAAAGACTATTTAGCTCATGAGTTCCCAGCAAAAGACAGTCAATTGCGACTGGAAGTGAACGGTAGCATCATTGGCATGCCCTGGTAGGGGGAGGTTGTGTCAACGCACCCAGGTCACAGAAAGCCTGCACCTCGCCTGCTCCTCCAGCAGCACAGGGTGATGCCAAGGTAGGAGTCTTAGAGCGTCACAGTAATGTTTGTGCCAGCAGAATGAGGGCACACTCATGTTACAGCACTTTCCAAAACTAAGCCAGTACATTTGGTGAATCCTTTCCAAGGAGGCTGATCAGATTCCTTGAGTTAAGATCAAATGAATGTTGTGGATGCTCCAGTGAAATGTGTTGATAAATAATACTGCACTCTCATGCATTGCATTTACTGTGAATTTAAAAAAGAAACCCATTTGTATGAAATAAAAATAGATTTTGCATGCACTTCGTTTTTCACGTGTGAACTGAATACTGTAGGACAATAAGCTGATGGCCTAGTCTCTGTGGGACAGCCAGCCAGTTACAGATGAACTTTGACTGCCCCAGAACTTAAAATGCCTGGGGGCAGCTGTGTAGCTCAAGTAACTTATTAGAAACTGATACTGAAAAATGACTGAGAACTAAACTCCAGTAGGTCACAAAAAGATTAAAAGCAAAGCAATGTCTTTTTCCACCACAACCCAGGTCATTATAGAGTATGATCACAGCCTTCCATTGCATTGTCTAGCAGAACTAGCACTAATCCCACCGCAGTACACCTAGAGTAATAAAGGTTTCTAAGGAAAAAGTGACAAATTTATCAGGGAGTTTAGAGAAGGAAACTGTTACAAAAAACTTGGTATCCACAAATTCCTGAACCTCTAATGGGATATCTACATGACTGAAACATGAAGAAGTCATCTCACGCCAGCTCCGCACACTAAGCACTCACCCAAGAGCTATGTTAGTGTACAGTGAACAGTGCAGACTGATGGTACTTGCAGAAAAGAACTAAGTTTGTATAGCCAGAGAAACACAGTCATTGTTTACGCAGGCAAGTACGAATGGGCATTCTTAATTCTTCCCTTCTGCTACATTTGATGTCGTGCAATTTGATGTCCTGCACAAGTGCTGACACCACAAACAGCTTTTCTTGACAGCCAAATAAAAAATAACCAGTTCCCCACCCTGAAAAAGAAATCCCATGGGGAACTTAAATGTGATAATAAAAGTGAGTAGCACCAAACACTGCCTGAACTGTCAGGTTATAAACAATGCTCATGAAACCTTCATGACCAGGATCAATAAAAGGAAAGGCCATTGCTCCTGAGAGCCAAGAGCCATTAGAAAACTAAAAAGCTTTCTGTCTCAGAGCGTTTATGCCTAGATTTCACGTTCCACTGCTTCTTCCATGGCCTTATAGACTAAACAAGCAAGTTCACTTCTACATCCAGCGCTGCAACAGCGAAACCAAGCCACCATTGCCTGGTAAGGAATTCCGTGACCTTGAAACATATTCTACAGAGCCACATGACTACTTTGCATAAATGTCCAAAATCATCAAAATTTAGGGCTTAAGTTTTCCCATCACAACAGTCAATTTCCTAATACACATATACACCTTTTCCATTTGAAAGGATTCCAAATGTTTCCAAACTTTGACACAAATTAGATAACTGAGTATACCCATCTCTACAATCTTCATGGAAACTAGCTTTTCTTTTCCATAGTAGTAGAACACTCCACCCCAGTTTCATTGCTGCAATGGAAAACATTAGACATTGCATATCTAAAAAAGTAAAAATGATCTCTTAGCACAGTCATCTTCCTGGCAACCAAGTCCCAGGAGATTTTGCCTTTCTCCTATTTTGTTCTTATTTGGTTGAAAATTACTATTATTAGTGATTACTCTCATATTTTTCATTTCAACTCTTCTTCTCAGCAATACAATCTTTGTAAAATTATTTTTGTTGGGAAAAAAAGTGTATTTCATTCTAAATTTTGGACAGGTGACTAAACTGCCACAATCTTTTTGCACTTAGGTAAATTAAACCATTTGTGCCTAGGAAAAATTACTTTTTCAAGGTGAGATTAATCTAACTTCCCGAATATTGTGGAGATGCCTTTTGTTCAAGACATTGGGATGCTGGATCTTTAACAGGGTTCTATGCATATGTCAGTTGGCTGAGATCACATGCTGATAGGGTTTAGCTTGTATAAATACTGAATTGTGCCAAGTGAAAGCCAGCTTAATGCCTCTGAGCACAACTTTTTTTAATAGCCCCTAATCATCTAAGAAACAACACTCTAAAAAAAACCAAACCTACTTTTCAGTCTGTCATTTGTTTTTTCCGTGTAACTCTAGTGAGGCCGAAGGGGTCACCAATGCAATCTAGTAACTCGCATCAAAAAATCAGCTGTCATACTGAAGAGAAGATTCGATGAATTGTATAAGTTTAGAGCCAAAGCATCATCTGTGAAAGTTCTCACTTGCTAACAAAGAAGCTGTCTGTCCTATTTATGCTTAATAGTATTTCATATCACTTTACACTGTTTTTCTTCTTTTCAAAATGGATCTTAACTCATCTACATCTATTATCTATGCAAGCATATTTCAGTCTGTGGAACACTCCATTACTGCTTACTTTGGCTGTTCATTATCCATGTAACTTGATTATCTGAATCACATACTACTGTTTTGGAACCAAAAGACAAAGCCTTAAAAGCAAGCCTTAAAAAATAAAAAGAAACAATAGAGCAAGAAAGCAATAAATAATGATACTTCCACTAGTATTATGTGGACAAAGAATAATGTATACCACAATAAATAAAGCTTTAGCTGTCTGAAAATACTTCAAGAAACACTAACAATTACTTCGATCATTAAACAATAAATAAGATGTCCTCCTGGATGCTGTAAAACAATTCTTTTTTTTTTAATGATGTGGCCACTAGAGTTGCTGGTGGTGTAATTTAGAGGTCAGCAAGTACAAAAGCACAACAATTACTCACATGAAATACCCCTGCTAACACTTGATCAAAATTACTGTTTTAGATGACTTGCATCCGTGACATGTATTAGGATAATCTATTTTTGTTAGTGACAGATTTGGATGTGGAAGGAGAGGTGATAGTTTGTAGTTTTAAATGGCAGGCCATAGAGGCAGCCGCTGGACCGCTGTTCAGGTCCGATATTTAGGAAAATTAACTCCAGCACAATAAGAAGCATTTTCTCTCAATATAAAAACACAAGGATCCAATAGAAAAGCAAACAGAAGTTCTAAAATAAATTATCAGAAAGGATTTTCCTTAACTTGCAAATACAAAATAATCCAGAAGAATGTAAATCTTTTTTTAAAAAAATGTAATACATATATATATTCATACTATCACTAGCATTCATTAGAATGGAGCAAAAAGAAGCTGGAGTGGGCCATAGGACGAGAATCGAACTACATGCATCAAGATAGTGCCCCATCTTCCCTCAACAGCTTTAGAAGACCATTTTCTTCTGGCTTCCGATATAAAGCTCACTTCAGTACATTTAGGATTAGGCTCCTGATGTCTATTTAATTCTGGCTGAAAATCTTGCCTGGGCACACTAGAGGCACACATGCACGTCATACGAGGTGGCAGAAATTCTTCCATGCATCTCCCTACCTCCCTTGCATTCATTGAAACAGCTAGACCATACCCTCTGAGAAAAATCTCAGAGATTTTCTTTGAGAAAATCTGTAATAGCTGAAAATCTGAAGAGCTTTAATTTAAACTCTTTTCCAGGAAATATGTAAGTCTACGCAGTGTACTCACAGAAGCTAACAAATACGTTGCAATTTTGTTAGCATCTTTCTACTTTGCATACTTATTTTATACATTATCTGCAACACCCACTTAAGGACAAACTTGAGAGTTACAAAGTCATGTGGGAAATTCGGCCATACATTTTGCTTTAGAGTACCCTGCCCTTTCTTGGAAACCGCAGCTAAAGATCTTTTTCCCTTAGGTGTCAGTCATTGCTGATACTGCTTAGATCTACTGCACATCCACATATGAGATTTTCTGGTATATTTTCAGAAAACATACTTCCACATTACAACCTTTCTGTACCAGTCTTTGCCTAGCCTATGTAAAATTATCTTCTCCACAATGCAATAAAAATAGCAGTTATTTTGCTTTATATAATTATGGAGATTTAAATATTAATGCAGCTATTACAGAAAATCTCTGTGCAAGATTATCTGATTTGAGAACAAGTTTCCTAAAAAGGAAGCAACATTAACCAGGAAAAGTTAAGAGACCTATTATGTGAAGACATTCTGCTTTCTCTATGGCAACACATCTTTTATCACCTCTCTCTGAGAAAGTCTGCCCTCTCCACGTCCTACTGACTTCCTTTCCTGCACTCAGGCCACACCTTTCTTATTCTGTCAGATGCCAAGAGGCCACTTTCGAACTCACAGGTGCCAGACCATTAACACAAATTCTCAGCCTGCTGTGACTGACTACTCACCCAGTGAATGACAGGTTCTGGCCACACACTGACACCACTTGTTACGATGGTTGTTTCTGGAATAGTCGTTCATAAATTAACCAAATAAAACCGTGTGGTGTCCACATGGGAATAAGCAAAAGAAACATCGCTGTTGGATTTATTTTTAACAGAAGCCTGAATGGGTATGGGATTACACCTGTATGCAGTAGGCTGAATTCGACACAGATACACTCAACATATCAACCATACTGATTTCTGTAAGAATCCATGCTGATTTCTACAAGAAGCAGAGCAGATTTTGGCTTTCCATCTCACATCTGTGCCATGAACACTTCAAACAGATCTAACAGCCAGATAAAACACTTATAACCCTTAGTCGCGACTTTCATAGGATGCCCTTAGGAATGCAAAGACTTTATATCAACATACTTCTGAAGAGTGAGGCTCAAGTTGTGGCTGGCGGACTTGATCTTGTTCTGGGCCTCTAAGTGGGTCATGCTGTCAGTGTTGACTCCATCAATGGCTACCACAAGGTCTCCTTGGTTCATCTGTGACTGTGCTGCCTTGCTGCCAGGGGTGATCTGTGTGGGAAAAGGAAAAAAAAAGTCCTATCAGGATAAGTCATCCTGTACACAAAGCACTTACAGAGAACTTGCCCAGAATTATAATGAGGAATAGATACAGCAATAAATACAGTAATAGATACAACACTAGCTATACCTATTATTGTATGGGTGGAACAACAGAATTTATGGAAATTAAACTCAAAGTTAACTCACATTTCTGCAAAGGTCCAGGACAAGATCTACTTGTCAGTACTTCCATTTTGAGAGGGTAAGCCCGATGTAGTGGTTCCCTTACCACATATTATCTCCTTCTCAAGGGGATAATTATCACTACTTATATTGGAGTAGTATATAGAGACATTATTCAGAAGCGGAAAACTAATGAACCACTATCTACTGCATGATTTTATCATATTTTTCCTCCTAAAAGCTATTTTTCCCAAATTAATTCATTATATTGAGCAGACAGAAAATGAATGTGTGTGAGGGACCTTGGACATGCTTTGCTTCTTTTATAGTGAGCTTTACAGGAAATCATTCTGCTTAACCTTACCCACATACAACTATAGCTGCATTACCAAGACAGATTACTATATACTTGAGATGACCTCATCAACCCGTTGGACCTGGCACTCCAAAGACAGACCAGCACTTTTAGAAATAAGAAGCCACAATGCTTCAACTACTGAGACAACAGTTCAGAAATTCTGGTTGTTCACTATGGCATCACATTTTGTTAGCTCCAGATGCCTTGTGAACTGCATCTTCTCTGAATGGATGGTATCCTGTCCCCAATTTTACACAGCCCTCTCGGCTTGCATCTGGATGACACTGATACTGTACAGCTACTTACGAAACTTGACTCCATTAGGGAACTCCAACTAAAACCGAAGAGCCTTCACATACCACCAGCTAGACAAATTTTAGTGAGGACATCAGTGTTGTCCTCTGCTTTCAGCACTCAGTACTTAAAGGCTACGGACATAAGCTATAGGTCTTTGCTCTTATTTTTAAGTACTCCCTTACATTCCTCACTTTTAAGAAAACCCAAGGACAATCAACAAAGGCTGCAGTCAAAAACTCTGTTCCTTCAGCATAGTGAGCATAAAAGAAAGATGTGTCTGCTATGAGCCAGAATTCTCCTGTGAATTCAGCCAGGCTGAAACTGTGAAGTTAAATTCCTAAGGAAACCAAACCCAACACAAATCCAAACATTTTTCCTCATCAAGTGAAATTCCTTAATCTGCCTTCCCTAATATGACCTCAAAACACTTAAAAATATGTACATACTCAAAACAAAAGTCTTTCCAAAACAATTCCCTAGACTGCCTGTTTGTGTTCTTCCACTGGCAAACATCAGAAAAAAGGAAAAAAAAAACCCTTTTGACACCCTGTTAACAGTGCTCAGTATCGAGGCTGGCAGTCTAATTGACAGTGTAGTCTGACAATGGGAGTTGTTAATTTACTAGAGGAGAAGCTGTAGTATCAGGTGCTAGAACACAGCACCCTGAATACTCGGACGCTCTACTTAAAAATAGAGATTACTTCGGAATTAGCCACTGTAAAAACCATGCCAGAATTGACCTGACTGCAAGAAACAGCTTTCTATACCTTTTCATTAGAGATAAAAACAATAAGAGTTCTATTTTCTGAGTGAAGGACAGCCACAGATATAATGTTCTTAGGCAAAGCAGAGTTGACTGATAACGGCAGTGCCATTCCCTGACGTATTTTTGTAGTGTTAAGGAATTCAGGCATGGGGGAAATACTTTGCAGTAATTTCAATGATGGAGTTTTATTCTGCACTTTAATGCACCCTCATAGAAAGAGATTAGTAGAAACAAGAGGTTCATATTACAAGCATAGTTTTCCCAACCTATTATACAAACATTAGCTTCTATGCATTTCATTGACTTGCATTGTGCAAAGTACACAGAATCCAGAAGCCTATAAAGAATATGGATTATTTGCATACCCACATGTACTTGTATAGTTACTGAAAGACCCTTCCCTGCTCAGTTCCCCAAATATGTCAAGAAACAGAACTTGCAATAAAATAAGAGGTCGGGAAAAGGCAAAATGTGAACAAAAGCCAAACTCAGATAAATCAGTCAGTAAGACTTGAGTTCATCAAGTAGGACACTTCAACCTTTCCCAATTTATCCTTTTTCTCAATTAACATGAACTGTTTGCCAGTCAGGTAGACACCAAGGCTGAGCCTTCTTGATAAAGATTTTTTAATAAATAATCTTCACACATCACTTTTCTAAGACACCACTTTTTACCTCCTTATGAAACATGCAAGTTCTTGCCACAAAACGTTAACTGTGTGATGCTGATAGTTCCAGTCTTCAGACAGCTGGTTCCAAACACTGGGAATTCCCCCTTTCTGCTCATCAAGAACGAAGACTGGTTTTTGAACATCAGCCCAGTTACTGAAAGTCAAATGTCTGCCCTAATTTGGGAATTCTTACTTTTCAGAGACATCTCTCCTTCCACTCCCCAGTGAGGCTTCAAACAAAATAAGCCCAGAGAAGCAGAGCTTCCACAGAAAGGATAAAGAAGTCTAGATCAGGGACAAGTTTAAGATAGCTGTAACATAGTGACTTCCCTCTCAGTTCGTCTGATCTCTGCTTTTGGCAGCCTCAAATTTAAATGTTATACTTAAAATAAAGATACAGCAGATAACTACAACTGTCCTAGAATTAGAGTAAAATTTAGAGGGCGGGGATGGTTATAACTAGTGACCTGATTTCACTTACTCTAGTGGAATGTTTTCTGCCTAACACTTTTAGAAAACATGAAAATGAAAAAATATATTTATCAGGAGAATCTATCAAACAAAAAGTCCTGGGTAACTTCAGATTTGTGATTTATACAAATTTCTAATTATGGCCATTGCAATATCCTTTCTGAGGCAAAGAGCTACCAGAACACCATACTGTGAAAGAGAAGGAAATGGTCTCAAACATGGCTTACCAGCCAGCATTCCTTTATTTGAAAATGAAATGAAAGGGATTTGTAGTCATGTCTTCAGCTAAGTATAATGGTAACAAATTCTGGCCTGGATTCCTTCATATAGCTCTACCTTTCAAATTCCCCTTTCAGGGGCCAGCACTCCATTGATGTCACTTTGCCTCTAAAATTCAGCTTACCCTAGCTTCATAGACAGTAAGACACACAAGTATAAAACATGGATCTAGTTTATCGTATCTGTAATTCAGAACCATAATAAGTATCAGGAAAGAATTACTTCTTCCCCCATTTCTCCCACTGGCTAAAGGCATGCTGTATAGATTATTCGGTTCTGTAGAGCTTTATATAGAAGGCATTATTAAAGTCTGGATGTATAATCTGTATAAAATATTCAAAGTACAAAATGATACCTATTTTTGTTAGTAGCTAACAGGTTTCTTTGTGACACTTTCAAGTGAACCCACAGCGTGCATTTACAGCAGACATTGAGAACAGTCAGTAATTGTTGGGGACAAAATACCAGTGTACAGATGGAGATATAGGGCAGCCAGATCTGAAGTGTCAAGGCACATTCAAGACTATCTTGTTCCCATTTTTAAAGATCCAGCAGAAAGGAATGGAATGCAAACTGTTTATCTGTTGGTATTTTCCTTTGAAAATTCATCTCTGATCTACTAAAAATTTACTAAATATAGTCACAGAGAAGATCTCACTGGGTCTGTGAAATCTTTAGGAATTATTTTCTATTTAAAAAGGTTTTAAAAAATATTTTTTAAATTAAGCATGAATGCTAATTCACCTTTGGAATTAGACTGCAAATCCAGATCTGTCCACGTTTGCTTTCATCTCAGCCTCTCTTACTACTTATCAGAAGTAACAAAAGAAGAGAAATACAATACTGTCTAGGCCAAATATGCATTTTTCAATTTGGCCACCCATGGTTTTTTTCCTTAAAACATCTCTGGGCAAGATCTAGACAGAATTATTTCAGAAAACCTTTGTAATAGTTTTAACTCACTTGCTCTGGATTGCACATAGCTTTCAGATGCTAGGTGTTGCAAATGCCTTTATTTAAGGCTATATGTTCACCAGAGATTCAAGGTATAGCTATTTCTGTCAAGGCAGCACACTACTGACACATCTGATTTCAATAGTATTTCTTTAGCACCTTAAGCCCAAGCACAGATTTCATCTTGAAAAGCCAAGCATCTTTCACCTCTCTCAGAAAAACAGAGGAACACTTGCTGCTTCAGAGATGTGAATTTTCAGCCTTCACAAATTTCCTATAAGGCAGGCATCTGACTTCCAATATTCCCAGCTTAAGGCAAGCAGGCAGGCTGGAAGTATCACATGTTGCTTTCAATGCACCACAGAGAATTCTTACTACGCTCTGTCGTGAGCAGATCTGTACACTGGGTGAATATATAGTAAGACAGTGACAGCTGTGCCCTAAAAAATAAGTCTGCACTGGGTTCAGAGTAAATACTACTTAGCAGGAGCTCTGGGAGGCAGTGTACAAAGTGCAGCTGTTGCTGCACCACCTTGAGAACAGCACATGTTCCCATCTAAGCTGCCTTGGCTACACTCCAAAGGGGGAAGAGATAGGGATCAGGCAGCATTTGAGTAGCTGAGTGTTAAAATACTAATGAGAATGCTTGTGTCAACAGATGGATGGACACTGCTTTTCTACTCTAAGGAACTCCTAATTTACAAGGCAGGCAAAAATACATAGGGAGGCCTATACAACTGAGAAGGTGTTAATATGGTAGCTTGCAGCATTGGCCAGGACCTCTTCTTTTTCCAGGACTTGAGCTATGCCTGACCCCTTCCTGACCCAACACCAAAATCAACAAGTTATATTTTCCGCTTCTCATTTAAGGACAGCATTTCAGAGAGTCAAGTATTCACTAGCACTAGAAATATGCTGAAGCACTGGGAATGAATACCTTCTCCTCTTCAGGATCTCTGGAATAGAAGAAAATATTAAAACAAAATGTTCCCTTCCATAGTCAGAAAAGCTAGAAATCAGAGATAGGACA